AAAAAAAAAAAAAAAAACTCAGCAAACTAAGAATAGAAGGAAACTTCCTTAATAAAATAAAGAGCATTTACGATATATCCACAATTAACATTATACTCAATGGTGAAAGACTGAAAGTTGCCTTCATAAGATAAAGAACAAGACAAGGATGCCTGTTTTCATCCCTACTACTCAACATTGTACTGTAAGTCCTAGTCAGAGCAATTCGGCAAGAAAAATAAATAAAAGGCATCCAAATTAAAAAGGAAGAAGTAAAATTATCTCTATTTAAAGATAACATGATTCCATATATAGAAAATATCATAAAATCCACAAAAATACTACTAGAGCTAATAAATGAATTCAGCAGGGTCAACACACACTAATCAGTGTTTTATACACCAGTAAGGAACAATCCAAAAAAAGATATTAACAAAACAATTCCATTTATAATAACATCAAAAAGGATAAAATATCATGAATAAATTTAACCAAAGAAGTGAAAGACCTGTATACTGGAAGTTACAAAACATTACAGAAAGAAATTAAAGAAGACCTAAAAGTAATGGAAAGATAATCCATGTTCACTGACTGAAATACTTAACATTTTTAAGATGGCAACTGTCAAGCGATCTACAGATTCAGTACAATCCTCATCAAAATTCTAATGGTCTTGTTTATTTTTTTGCAGAAATAGAAAAGCCAATCCTCAAATTCATATGGAACTGCAAGGGGCCCCAAATATCCTAAACAATACTGAAAAAGAAAAACAAAGTGGGAGGACTCAAACCTTCTGATTTTAAAACCTACTACAAGGCTACAGTAGTCAAATGTGTATGGTACTGGCTTAATAGAAATATAGGCCAAAGGAACAGAATTGAGAATATAGAAATAAAACAAAACATCTATGGCAAATTGATTTTTGACAAAGGTGCCAAGACCATTCAGTGGGGAAAGAACAGTCTCTTCAACAAATACTGCTAGAACTGGATAACCTCATTCAAAAGAATGAAGCTGGAACTCTACCTCACTCCATATACAAAAATTGACTCAAAATGGGTCAATGCCCTAAATTTAAGAGCTAAAACTATAAAATTCCTAGAAAAAACATACGGGCTAATCTTTATAACATTGGATTTGGCAATGGATTCTTAGGCTTGACACCAAAAGTATAAGCAACAACAAAAAAAATTTAATTGTACTAAATAAAAATTTTTAACTTTTATGCATCAAAGAACATTAACAAGAATGTGAAATGGCAATCTACAGAATGGGAGAAAATATTTGTAAATCATATATTGGATGTAGAGTCAATACGTAGAATAAAGAACTCCTACAGGGGCTTCCCTGGTGGCACAGTGGTTGAGAGTCCACCTGCCAATGCAGGGGACACAGGTTCATGCCCCGGTCCGGGAAGATCCCACATGCCGCGGAGAGGCTGGGCCCGTGAGCCATGGCTGCTGAGCCTGCGCATGCAGAGCCTGTGCTCTGCAACGGGAGAGGCCACAACAGTGAGAGGCCCGCATACCGGAAAAATAAAAAATAAAAAGAACTCCTGCAACTCATCAACAACAACCCAATTTAAAAATGAACAAAGGAACTGAAAAGAAATGTGAATCAAAACCACAGTGAGATACCACTTCGCACCTAGTAGGATGGCTTTAATAAAAAAAAAAAAAAAGGAAATACAAGTATTAGCAATTTGGAGAAATAGCTGTTAGGAATGTACAATGATACAGCCACTATGGAAAAGTTTGGAGGTTCCTCAAAACATTATAGAATTACCATGTGACTCAGCAACTCCACTCCTAGATATATATCCAAGAAAAATGAAGACATGTCCACACAGAAACTTGTACACGAATGTTTATAGCAGCATTATTCATAATAGCCAAAGGTAGAAATCCAAATATCTAAATGTCCATCAATGGATGATTGGAAAAACAAACTGTGATTTTCCAATTGTGATTGGAAAAACAAATTGTGAAAAACACATTTTCCAATCAATGGATGACTGGAAAAACAAATTCACACAATGGACTGTTATTCAGCCATAAAAAGCAAAAAGTACTAATATATGCTGCAATTTAGATAAACCTTGAAAATACTAAAGTAAAAAAAAATCCAGAAACAAAAGGACATGTACTGTATGATTCCCTTTACATGATATATCCATAATAGGCAAGTCCATAGAGACAGAAAGATTAGAGGTTATCAGGGGATGGGAAGAGGTGGAATTGGGAGTAGTTACTTATCAGTGTTTCTATGGCGTAAGGAAAAGTTTTTAAAATAGAGCTCTGGTGGTTGCACAACGTTGTGAATACACTAAATACTACCAAATTGTATTAAAGGCTAACATCAATTAAAAAAAAACTTTAGGTAGAAATAATAGAGCTTACTTTCTTAAAGAAATTTATTTCAGACATTAACTTTTAGCCTTTTGCTAAATTATTCAGTAAAAGGTAGTTATCAAATAACTTATTTCTTGAGCTGCTGCTACACATTCTACCCCAATGGTAGTCAAATTTGGATTCTTTTCCTGGTGCTCTAATATTAAAAGTAAACCATATACTTATAGAGATTTACTTTTTCTTGTTCAGATATAGATAAGTAAAAAGATTTCCACTAAACTCGTAATTTTTAAAACCCAACAGCAAAGAATTAAAATTTTTATGTAAAACTTTTACACTGCAGCTTCTTGAGTCTCTCATCTTTGGAGAGGCTCTTAAGTTCTTAATTTTCATGTTTTAAATTGCTCTAACGAGGATTTAATTTCACTGGATAACCAACACTCAACTCTTACTCTTTCACTTTTTTATACAACTACATTTTATGCACATAATTGTATGAAACTAACATTGATTCATTGTATTCATAAACATACATTTTAATGTCAGCAAATAAGTTCAAGCTTTTTTCATAAGAATGGAGTGTGGTTTTATAGGAAAAAATAAGCCTACAGACAAGTGTCGATTGAAAAACTAAGTCTTTACAGATTTAGGTAAAAATATAAAATATAGAGGTAATACTTTCTTCAAATAAACCACCACATCTTGTAGCTATGTGGTTCATCTTCATACAGCTAAGAAAAAAACTTCTCATGGAGATTTCTGGAGTACTGGAAACCAGAGGTTTCTGTAATACCAATTATTACAAGCTCTGGCTCATCAATAAAGTAGCAAGTAAATCTTTAAATGGTCACAGCAAGAACAAAGACCGGTAGCGTTAGAGTTCACCATTATTTTCTAGCTGTCGATACACTCAGAACACTTAAAAATACAAAGACTCACCTTCTATTGAACCAGTATGTTCTCTTTTTTTTTGTTTTTGAACCAGTATGTTCTTTAAATTTGGCTACATAGCAGTTCCCAATCAGGGGTGATTCTGTCCCCACCAGGGACATTTGACAATGTCTAGAGGTATTTTCGGTTATCACTTTTGGAGCTCTACTGGCTCTAGTGTGTGGACTCCGGTGAGTCTGCCAAACCTACAACACAAAGGACAGCCTCCCACAATAAAGAATTATCAGGCCCAGATGTCAACCTTGAGATATCCTGAGCTACATTAATGGTCTCGGCCATTTCCATCCTGAAATTTGTACCACAATCTCAGAACACTTCACTGAAACTGTTGTTCTGTTCTGATGTCACAAGCTATAAATTTGATTTGTAACTCTAAGACCCTGGTTAAATAATACAATCTCAGGAAAAGCAGAGGTTAAAAATATTTAAGAGAAAACTGATAGAGAATGAAATATAAAAAGGAAATAAAATAGAACTCAAGTCGGAGCTATGTATGACCCAAATTTTAAGATCTTGTTAGATTTCTAGATCTCTCCAATTTATTAGCTTTAATCTGCAGTGTAAACAGTACAGAACATGACTGAAAATTAAGGGGCAGTGCAGAGGTTCTTTCTATATTTGTGCCATATAAACACCTTTTCACTAAAACAAAATTTAAAGAAACAACAAACTATTTAATTCTATGTTCAGGTTTCAATTTTCAGCACTGTGTTTACCTTTGCTGACACATTACGTCTTCTTTGGAAGGAGGCAGGCATTAAACCATTTGTTCTTCCTGATATTTCAAACCTGTTAGTACTAAAAAGCACTTTAAAAAATAATACTATTTAGGATATCCTTAATTCCAAATCAGACTGTCCCAGAGAAAGCAAATGTGCTACATCTGTTACTTCTGTTAGTTCCTCAGAATTAAAAAAGAGAAAAAAGAAAAAAGGTAACAAAATGATCTTCACATTAAAATCTCAATTAATACTGGTCCCTAAAAGACAGTTTAAAATAAAAATCAAGTTTCACAAAATAAATACACTGAAGCAACTATAATAGTAATAACCTTTATTTAAAATATTTTTTAATCTAGGAAAGCTCATTTTACATGAGTTTCCAACTAAATATTAGACTCAGAAACAAAGAAAATAAAACCAGAGAAAATCTTCTGTAGAAAAAATACACAAGGAACATTTCTACATGTGAAAAAGCAGTAAGCAGTCTTAACATGAGCATCCAAGTCTTACTCTCAATTCCATCTCTCCTAGTGAACACCACTATCAACCTTGAGATCTGACTTGTTCTTGTCATTCTTCACTGAGTAGATGAAATATGTTAAGGTGTCTTTTTCATTCACTGGAATTGACCTAAAGTGGCAACCAACTATCTATAAAGAAAAAAAAATTGAGGAAATTAAATTATAGATATTAACAGATTTTATAAACTAGGTAAAAAATACTGTCATCAAAAGAAAATGTGTGATGATAAGTGCTATTTCCTTTTAAAAATAAATTTAACAAAGAACCAACAGGATGAAAAGCATATAAGAGTAAGATATTATGAACAAGAGATAGTGTGATTTCAAAGGATCCCTTGGCCCACTCAATTAACTATATATTAATTAGTATGTGTATTTCCTTTTACTTATTTTGAATTTTATAACTGAGATCTAGATTAGGATTTAAGTAGTTTTACTTTCAAACTTCAAATATCAATGAAATAGAACAGAATGTAGGAGTCCACATGCATCATATAATGGTTTAGTCTCTACTTATGGAAAAAGGATAAACATTAAGTTGAAAAAGCTTTGGTACTATAGAAACAAATCATGAATTATCATACAAATATGTCTGCTACAACTTACATTCATTCATTGGCAATATTTTTTGTTAAGGTTCCCTGAAAATTATTCTGAATAAAAATTATTGATGGAAAATGAGAAGGGAAAAAGGGATGTCCACTGAAGAATGTTTACCTGCTTTCTTGCCTTTTCATTCTGTGCACTGCAACTACCAATAGAAGTATAATAGACTAAACTGGGGCGCTGATATGCATATTTAGATTCTAGAAGATAAAACTTCTTAAAAAGAAAGATAATTAAGAGACTTAAGGAGGACAGTCACTCAACTCTGGAATCATTTGTATCTGCATTTCTGAGTAAGTTCTAACACTCGTGACTATTTGGATTTCTCATTTCTAAAAAAAGAAGATAGCTCTAGAAATAATTTAACTTTTTAAAAAGAAGATCAGATTATCAAAAACTTCAAGTTTGATTTCTGCATTTAAAAAATATACACATTTAAATGTAACATTTAAAATAATCATTTCTTCGGTTCTCATTTGTCCCAAAACAAAGGTATCTTCACTTGATTAGTAAACTGTATATATATCAATATAGTTTCATCATAGCAGGCAATATCTATATTTATGTTAATATTAATGTACTATACAATCCAAAAAGGATGTGATCTTTTAAATCAAATTTAAAGAAAAATTAGATTTTTGTTGCCTAGGCAAGAAGGAAAGATGCAGCTCTGGCTAAAGCGTTAATATACTGGACCTTAATGTTAAAAAGCATTCTACTCATCTTCTATCTTATTCAATATGCACATTTTAGAAAATGTTGGATTACTAAATTCAAGCTGAAGAATATGAGAAAACTTATTTATATATTTACTTATATCCTGTCGAATAGGTTAAGCATTTTGCTTTTAAATATGATTGAAGTACAAACATACAAATCTATAAATATCTTAATATGATGTACAGATTTCTTGGTTCTATTATTTCCTGAGAACACAAACACACTCAATTTTTTTAAAATTCACTGAAGTACTACAAGTCCTATATCAAGAAACTATAAGTAAAAGCTTGGATACAAGTCTTTGCATCTTCTAGATGTAAAAACATGGGTGCTTCAAATAAAACTAACATCAACCAGGACAAGTTCTGAAATAGTTAAATCAGCCAGGTATGGGAATACTGTTTAGGGGCTTATCTGTAAAACCTACTCCATCAAAAACTTCAAAAAATAAATTCTAACAAAGACATCAAAGTTTATTAATTTATTTTATTATGCCTCAATTAGGTGTTCAATAAATGTTTACTTAATAGAATTTTTAAATAAACAGGTTTCTAGAATGAGAATTAAAAAAACTTTCACTCACTATTTCTGAAAGTCATTATTGGAAGATGCTTAGAAAACTGCACACAATCCATTGAGTAGTCATTACACAAAGGAATTTCCTATGTGGTAGACAAACATTTCTAGGCAACTATATTCTTCCACAATAGATTTTTTACTAACTTTGATTTTTCTAACTCCTGATAAAAGGTATTGTTACATATGCTACATTAACAATGTCATTAGCATTTAATGACCCTTTTTTGTATGAACAGGCTCATTTAAAGGTTAAACAGCTTAAAACTCATATATACCTCCACAAGCTGTGCTTTATTAAGTCCTGGTCTGGTTGGGAGTTTGAAGTGTCTTTTGTATCTCCTAAGTGTATTCACCTGTAATTGGTATAAATCAACCTGGAAAAAATTAACATATCATTTGTTAATGACTTAGCTTTGTTATATATAACAACAATGCAATTTCAACACAATGAAAACTTAACTCCATTATTAAAAATGCCTTTTATATAATCAAAACTACAATGTATTAAACACTTCAATCTTTTGAGCATAATTATTAAAGACCAGGGGCCAAAAAAAAGAACTTATAAGACAACAGAGCTCTAAGAGTTGTCAACTGAAACTGTAACAAGTCCAATTGTGTAACTGCATGTTAACTGGCCATATTTAATTTTGCTTTCATTTTCAGATTTTTCAAATACTTTAAGTATTTTTAAAATTTGTTTATATTTTTTTAAAGAAAACTTTCAGAACGGAGGACTTAAGATTTACAGTTAACATACGAAAACTTTCACCTACCTCTGGAGTATCAATATCTTGAACAGGTGAATCTCCTCCATCATCATCACTCCCTTTTCTCTTTCTTCTGTTTCGAACGCTCTGAATTAAGTTTTTATGATAATCACAAATGTAAAGATGCCTTGCCTGAAACAGAAAAGTTTCACAGACTACTTATGATTGCCGAAAATGTGTCTATGTATTAAAAATACGTAACAGTGAATTATTAAAAATAACAACAGTCCAAACAGGCCATTGTTAAGACAACGCACGTTTCTTTCTACTCCAGTCCTGAACCCAGTTAAAACCTACCATGTCTTGTAATATTGTTAAGAAGATTGGGGGTGGGGAGGGGAGAGGTGCCAGTAAGGGAAGCGAGACGCAGAGAAGAACGAGAAATTCCTACCGTCTGGATTCTGTCATCAAATTGCAGCGATGGTGAACTAGACTAGTTCAGTCATGCTGTTTTTTTTTTTTTAACAAGGGAAAAATGATGCTGTTCACAATTTTGCTATTTGATAGCATTTTCTCTACTTAAAGAGCATTTTAAAATACCATAATGTATGCTTCCTAACCTTGCTAACTTAATACTCAAATTATAATCGAGCACAAAACTACCCATTTTTACAAATAAGTTGCTGATTTCACATCCTAAATTTAAATTTGAATTATGAACTTCTCTGCGTATTAAATAAATGCATTTATCAGTAATACGTTTTTCCAACCAAAACAATGTGAAATTATTCAAGTATACCTGAAAAGTTTCTCATGAACACGACGGAGGAACTAACTGAATAGGCAGAAAACTTTAATTACATAGTTCTGAGAGCTGTGCGGTAACATGTGAAATACCGGGTTTCGTACATTAGCAGTTACTCCTTAAAAAAAACAAACAATTGAGGACTGAGCTAACCGGCTTTTAAATTAACCTCTAAGCTAAGTGCAAGCTAAAAAGATGCACGATGTGTGCCGGTTTTGGCATCTTGTTATTTATCACCGCCGCCCAGAGCTCCGGTAAGTGGAAATGGCCGTTTCTAAAAACCTTAGCGACGGTCAAAAGAACAGACGTGCGAAAGAACGAAGAAAGAAACCCTGATGGCTGCCAAACGGAGGGCAAAACCCAGAGGCTGCGTGCTCCCCACATTGGGAGCGGCTGCCCGGGATGCTGATACGGCCGCTCGGCTCGCAGCCAGGCGTCCCCTGCACCCGCGCCCGCGGGACGGGGAACGGGATTCTTGTCGCCCGCGGCGTCAGGCCCTACCAGGACTCCACTGTCCCCAGACCGGGGGAGCTACTCCCCGGGGCCGAGCGCCGGATCGGGCAGCAAAACAAAGAAGGCGCCTCCGTTCCACAAGGAGCCGCCGGGCTGCAGGACAGCTACTCCGGGCCCTCTGCTCGGCCGCCCCCTTTGTTTCGCGCCCCGGCCCCCGCGGAGGAGGAGGGGGAGGCAGGGCGCGGGTGGGGTCGCGCTCGGGCGCGGGTCCGCGGCGCGCGAGCCTGTCGGCTGCGGGCGGAGGGCCGAGTTGCAGCACTTTGTTTGCTTCCTACTAGAGACGCCGGAACGGGCTCGCGCTGCGCCCAGGTCTGGGGGCCCCGCACCCCACCGACGTCGCGTCTGCTTCGCTCCCCAAGCGCTCGCGGGGCGCGCAGGGAAGGCCCGTCCCGCCGTCACTTACGCTCTTATCCAGCTCGATCTTCACCTTCTTCTGGGAGATGCTCTTCTGGATCCTCTTGCTGAAGCTGGCGTTGCCCGCCGCCCGGCCGCACCGCTCGCCTTCCTCGCGCAGACAGCACAGCTGCCCCGGGCCCGGTCCGGCCGCTCCCGGGGGCCCCGCTGCCGAGACCCCACCGGCGCCCAGCACCTCGGGCCCGGCGCCCGCTCCGGCCCCGTTCCCGGCCGAGGCGGCGGCGGCGGCGGCGGCAGCGGCGACCACGGCGGCCACGGCTGCGGCCGCGTCCCCGCCGCGGCTCATGTCCTCGGGCGTGAAGCCGTTCATGTCCCAGCGCTCGCGGCGACGCGCTGACAGAAGCCCCGCTCGCCGCGCCGCTAGCCTCTCGGGAGACGTCGGAGTCTAGGCGGTTCCTCAGGCACCTGCCCGGCGGCGGCTACTCACTCTGCGCCCGCGGTCTCCGGACAACACCGCGGGCCCCCGGCCTGCCGGTGTCTGCTGGCGCCGGGACAGTGGTCGGGGCTTGGGGTCGGGAACAGAATCTGGCGTCGCCTGGAGCCGGGACGCCGCTCACTGTCACATGGAGACTCCTCAGCACTTGAACCACTGCTCCTTCAACTCCCTCCGGCCCTCCACCTGCGCAAGCGCGTTGCGCCCTTGCCCGTCCCGCCCCTTCCACTCTGTCGCATGGCACCACGGGAATTGTAGTTTTCTTCCAGGGAGCCAACCTGAGCTCCAACCAGACCCAGCGCTTCGCGGTTTAGGGGAACTATTTATCCCAGCATTCATGGCGCGGAGGCGGGTCGGGCCTTTTTTTTTTTTTTTTTTTTTTTTTTTTTTTTTTGGTGAAACACAGGGAAAACAGGGGCGTGTGGTTGGGGTTGCTTTTCTGGCTTCTGGTCTCTCCTGGGAAGTTGGGCTATGTTTAGCTTCTGAATTTTGCAGAGCTGGCATTCTATACGAAGAGGTCACTCAACTCCTGAGGCGAAGCACAAAACGCGGGGGGGGGCGGGAGTAGGAGGGAAGGGGAGGGAGCTTGTGGGAAAACAGTTTCGGGCTGTTTTCGTATCTGTGGAAAAAGTTTTTGGTATGACTACGTTTTTGTGGGAAACCCAGACCGAGGAGAACGGGCGCCCTGGCGTTTTTCGGGTCCCGGAGGTCCCGCAGCTAACACCACGGGATCTGATAGCAGTTCCGCCGACTGACGCCCCAGACTGTGAGGGCGCCTGCCGGGGGGAAACGCGCGTCCCGACCTCGGCGCCGGGATGGGGCCGATGTCGGGCTGGAGGCCGCCTCCAGATCCTCGCATTGTCCCTGCGAGGAACGCGCTGGCTTGCGGGGCGCACACTGCCGCTTCTTGAGGTGGAGCTGCTGACAAGTGGACTTAACGGGGCTGCTTTTCGCTTCCACCCCCTGCCTCTCCGCTTTCTCCTCGAGGGAACTGGGAGCCGGTCTAATAGCATTTAAAAGGGACGTGTAGCCCCTCCGAGTCTCGGTCAGCCTGGGGCTCCCGGAACCCGAAGGCGCGCCCCCGGCCGAGAGCGCAGGAAAAGCGCAGCTCCGGGATCGTCGTCGGCGCGCGCGTGTCTGTGTACGTGTCTGTGTGCGCGCGCGTGTGCATGTGTACGTGTGGGTGCGTGCGTGTGGAGGGCGGGGTGGAAGGTTGGGAGAGGCTAGTACGAAAGCTGCGCCTTTGCTAATTGCAGCGCTTCATTATCAGTACGTATATCTTGTTTATCCCATTGTTTAAACAAAGATAGAAAGCAGTAGGTTTTTTAAAGTTCTTTTATATTTACTGAGTAAACTTATTGATAGATGATTTTTTTAAAATGTGAACTGTCATCTGCCCTGAAATTCAATGCCATTCAGTCCATCTGTGCACTTATGTTTTAGGATATAGCAAAGGAAGAAAAAAAAATGTAGTGGGCAAAAGAAAGATGCTGAATGGTGAGTATTTGTGTTATCTTTTCAAGCTGCACTGCCCAACAGTGTGTCTGCTAGCCTTATGTGGATATTAGCACTCGAAATGTGGTTATTGTGACTGAAAAACTGAACTGTTAATTTTAATTCATTTAAATTTTTAAAACTGATTTCAGTTATTGGAAAACTTTTAATATGTTTGGAACAACTTGGATAGGAATCTGTTTTTTCAACTTAAGCTTTATGAAATCTAAATTTAGCATCTGAACTGTGATGTGCCGGTATGTATAAACTACCAGCAGGATTTCAAAGACTTAGTACCAGACTTTTTTTAAAGAATATTGATTAGCTTAGTAACATTTTTTATATTGATTACATGTTCAAATGATTATATTTTGGCTATACTGGGTTAAATAAAACATTAAAATTTACCTGTTCCCATTTTTCAAAATGTGCCTACTATAACATTTAAAACTACACATGTGGCTCACATTATATGTGTATTTAGATATTGTTGGCTTAAAGTATTAAAACGCAGAATAATACTATCTATTGTTTATAGATGTATTTTCTTAAATAGTAAAAATGAGACTATATCGATAGAATGGACACACACCAGCTTAAAGGTGGTGGTCATCTCTTAGGAGAGAGGCCAATGGATGGTATCTGGGAATGGCTAAAAGGTGGTTTCCATTTGTAAGTTTTTATTTGTTAAAAACAGTCTAAAGCAAACATGATATTGGGATGTTGGATTTTCATATTTTTTGTAATTTTATATAATTTAAAATAATTTATAATATTGTTTGGTTCTTGCCCTTAAAAGTTTATAGTCTACCTTCTGCAAATGTGATCAAATCAGTTCATGTATGGTATAGTTATATATCAATTTCATATGAATTTTACTAAAGTGACGAATTGTGGCTATGCTTCCTTTACAGACAATACAGTATTTTTAGAAGTTTCAGTCACTCATTTATTGCATGCTAGGATCTTTTCTAGGCTCTGGGGATACAAAAATAATTGGGAGAGGGTCCTAGCCATTTTGGAGCTCACAGTCTAATAGGGGAGACAGGTAGCTTAACAAGCACATGATACATGCTATAGACTGAATGTTTGTGTCCCCACAAAATTCATATGTTGAAACCTAATCCTCATGTGATAATATTTGAAGGTAGGGTCTTTGGGAGGTGATTAGGCCATGAGGGTGGAGCCCTCAGGAATGGGATTAGTGCCCTCAGAAAAGAGGCTCTAGAGAGCAACCTCACTCCTCCTGCCATCCATGGGAGAAGACGCCCATCTATCAACCAGAAAGTGGAACTCATCAGCCATGAACCGGTCAGCACCTTGATCTTGAACTTCCCACCCTCCAGAACTGTAAGAAATAAATTTCTTTTGTTTATAAGCCACCTACTCTATGGTATTTATTTTTTATAGTAGCCTAGACAGACTAAGACACATACCTCAATAAAATTAGAGGAAAAGTACAGACTTAGCACACAGAAGGAAATGATTCACCTCTGACAAGTGGAAAACATTCCTGGAGTAGGTGACATGTAAATTTGAGATTTAAAGTATCTCTTCAGTGAATCTGTCCTCCCTACAAAGAAATTTTCTTAACAACCATGGATCATTGTTTATGTGTAAAACTCCTCATATTCAGGGCAGGTAATAATTTCTTGCTCTAAGTATAATTCACAGTCAAGGTTGGAATCAGGTTTTGGGGAGCTTCAAGTTTATATAATCTGAGGGGTCTTCTTTAAGAAAAATATACAGAATTATGAATGTAAAATTAGATACAAGCCTTTTAAGGAACTCTGAACCTTACATGGTAAGCTTCATGGTAAATTTACCTCACAATAGACAATATGGAAAATGATTTATGAAACCTAAATTATAAGAGTGTTTTTGACATCATCAAAATATTCTTTGCTTTCTGAAAGGGTTCAAAATATTCTTTGAAAAGCATTTTCCCCTGCCTTTCTTCCCTCTAAAGCTTTTAATATGATTGAACTTTTCTGGTTTTATTGCAAAATAAGCAATTAAGTAAATTAATTTCAAAATATGCAAATTAGTACATAATCTTCACATGAACATGATGGTAAATTCAAATAATACAAAAAGTTTCAATATGAAAAATAAAAGCCTATTTCCTCTCATCTCCCCAAATCTGTGTCCCTAAAAGCAACCAATGTTAACAAGTTCTGTGTTTCCTTCTAGAAAAACAATTATATGCATATACCAGTATATACATGTCTATACATGAATAATTCTATTTTATTGCAGCTAAGGATCATGCTGTTTTATATCATGCTTTCTTTTACCTAGTTTAAAATACAGCAAGCACACCAAAAAAGTGCACAAAACAAATGTCCAATTTAAGCAGTTTTGGTAAAACAAGCATCTATATAACTACTACCCAGGTCAAGAAACAGAACATTGTCAACAGAGCCAGCTTTCTGGGCATGCAAACAGTGCAGAGGCACAGGGCAGAGGCTCAGAAGCCCACCCCTTCCTACCCCTTACTCTCTCCACTGTGCTTGTGGTTCAGTGCTCATCATCATCATGAAATTGTTAACCATTCATCTTTGAATTTCTGGGTTCTGGCGGATCTCTCCTTGACCATCTCTGCACTGGCCTGAGCACTCCGAGGTAACGCAGGGAGTGACCGCTGTGGTGCGCAGCCTCTCCCTCTCCCCGCCCCGCGCTGAGGTGGGGGTCAGGCCTCGGCTGCCTGTGAGGGTCTGCCTTTGACCAAAAAGAATCGCTATACCCAAGGGAGAGCGACGTTAAATAGCAAATTAGAAAACACCATGACAGGGAGAGAGAGAGAGAGAGAGAACGGAAGAAAGAAAGAAGATTTTTGCATTGGGTCCCACCAGTTGTGCCGCTGGCCTTGATTGACAGCCCTGAGTGACCACATGTGCTCCTCCTCCATCTAACCCTTCACCGGCCAGCAGCAACTATCTTGATTTCTGGTATTCACTACCTGCCTTTTCTTTATCATTTTACCGCACAATTATGAACTCTAAAAAGACATTTTAGTTTTTTTTGTGTTTTTGAACTTTTTTAAAGTGGAATCGTGTACTTCGTTATTGTTTTCTCTGGCTTCTTCACTGTCTTGAAGATCTGCTTGTACCTCGCTTAACTAGCTCTTTTCATTGTGGATGAATAAAATACACTTTATTTAACCATTTTATTGTTGATGGACATAGGGGTTGTTTCCAGTTTAGGGATATTAAAAGCAACCTTGCCATGATCCTTCTTGTACATGTGCCCTGATACCTCTGTGCTTACAGTTTAATAGGACAGGTATTTAGGAACAGAATTGCTGAGTCATAGAGTATGCATAGCTGCAACTTTACTGGGTACTTCCAAACTATGACACTTCCACAAGCCTTTTTTTTTTTTTTTTTCAAACGATCCAATGGATTTGTCTGTTATCTCGTGATTTTACACTGAGT